CGTGGGGCCTGAACTCTGGGCCTGGGCGCTGTCCTTCCGCTCTTCAGCTCAAGGCTAGCGCTCTACCACTTGAGACACAGCGCCACTTCTGGCTTTTTTCTTTTTTCTTATGTGGTGCTGAGAAATTGAACCCAGGGCTTCATGCATGCAAGGCAAGTGCTCTACCACTGAGCCAACTTCCCAGCCCAGGCGTGAGACTCTTATCTCCAATAAACCACCAGAAAACTGGAAGTGGCACTATGGCTCAAGTGTAGAGCCTTGAGCTGAAGAGCTGAGCGATAGCACTCAGGCCCCAGAGTTCAAGCTCCATGACCCCCCACCCCCCGCAAAAAAAAAAAAAGTCTCACAGACTTTCCTGCCTGGGCTGGCTTTGAACTGTAATCCTCAGATTTCAGCCCCCTGAGTAGCTAGGATTACAGGCCTGAGCCACCAGGGCTTGGCTTGTGTGGGGCTTTTGTTGTTGCTAATTCCTTTCCTCTGCCCTGCTTTAGACTAGGAGGTGAGGAGGAGCCCCATACTTCAGAACTTAGCAATAATACAATTATCAGCAATTAGATTAGCAAGTCTTGGCAGGCAGATGTTGTTAAGGAGTCTTTTGATTTGTTGTTATGTTCCTATTTGGACATTTGGATGTCAAGATATGTCCTGTGTCCAAGAGTGTCTGGGTCGGAGGGGTTGAGAGTTTATCCTGATTCCCCCCTCCCCCCACATCATGCAGCAAGGATAAAATAAGGGCTCAGCTGGGCAGAGACAGTGAGTCTCCTTCCTGCCCAGATGTTTGAAAGTGGGGGGACTGGAACAGACTGGCTCCTACTTTAAGAGGGACTCTACTGATTATAGGCTTTGGTGTCAGCTTCTGGGCCAGAGGTCAGGGATAGATGGCCTCCTGGGCTCAAGGTCATAGACTGGAGCCACACCAGCTCTGTCTTCATTTCACGAGGAGGAGGCCAGAGGTTGGAGGTGCTGAATGAGGGAGTTGGGCTCACACAGCCATTTGGTAATAAAGTTGTGGCTGGCACTCAGTTCTCCAAAGGTTTGTGAGGCTCCCATCTGTCTTCCTGTGGGAGAGTGCTGAATTCCTGGGGTGGACATGGCTGGGAATGTATGTGTCGTAAGTCCAGGGTGGACATTGTGTAAGTGTTCGACAGAGATTCCACTCAGAAACAGACAGAGAGGTAAGGTGGTGGTGGTGGCGGAGGTGAGGGATGGAGCAGGGTGCAGCTAGAAATGTTAATTGTAGGACAGACTTTTGTTTTTCACCAGAAAACCCTCATTGTTTGAACTTTTACTACCTGGGCCTGAGAATATGAGATCACGTTTGTATCTCTCTGTTTCTAGGGTGATGGATTTTGTGTTCACCTCCCTTCCCATTTGAAATGAAGGACAAAGGAAGGCTAATTCTCAGTCCTTGGAATTTTTGAAAGATGGTTGGAATCCCCCCCAAAAAACAAACAAACAGAAAACCCCCACAAACCCAGTATAATGCTTGGAACTTCCTGAAGGAAATGTGTTTTGGGATGTGATTTGCCTCTGTCCAGGCCTTCTGGGTTGTGGGGAAAGTTGAATGTCTATGGGGCCTCAGCCTTTGGGTGTTTGGGTTTTTCCCATACTCATGAGTTGGGCACCAGTCTAAGGTCAGCACATGCAAGGTCCCCTGGCCTGAGATGTGACCGCAGAGGTCGCATATAGACATGGTGGCAGGTGATTTAACAAGCAGTTCCTGCTTTGTCTTACTGGAAACCTGACTCTGTTCCTCCCACCCCAGGAAGCAGCTCTGCAGTTTTCTCCAGTCTCTGGCCTCATAGGTTGCAGGGGCCTTCTAGGTTGTCATAAATATTTTGTGTATGCAAGTGTGGAACTGTAACCTGAACACAGAGACTCAACACACATTTGACTTGTTTGCTCACAGCTGGTGCTCTTCCACTTGAGTGAGGCCGCCAGTCTGGATTTTGCTGGTTGGAGATTGAGTCTCCAAGACTTTTTTTTTTTTTTTTGGGTCCGGTCATGGGGTCTGAACTCTGGGCCTGGGCGCTGTCCCTCAGCTCTTCAGCTCAAGGCTAGCACTCTACCACTTGAGCCACAGCGCCACTTCCGGCTTTTTTTTCCTTCTGCTTAATGTGGTGCTAAGGAATCGAACCCAGGGCCTCATGCATGCAAGGAAAAGGCTCTACCACTGAGCTACCTTCCCAGCCCCGACTTTTTTTTTAAGGTAATAAAGGAGTTTTTATTAGTTGGTT